GTTCGCCACCACACCAGGCTTCTAATTTTATTTTGAGACAATTTCAAACTTCAGAAGAATAGTAAAGATTGTATGAAGAAAGCCATTTGTCCTTTACCCAGATTCATAAAGTAACATTTTGCTACAATTGTCTTGTCATTCTGTACAAGGCTCACCTGGTAATGTTTGTGTACACATACATACATATACACATTTTCCCCTGAACTATTTGGAGTAAGGCAAGGAGTTCACGTCCCTTTATTCCTAAATACCCCATGGATATTCTGTTACTTAGCCAATGATATACAATTAGCAAAACCAGGGAAGTTAGCATTGACTCCATAGCACTAATCAATAATATCATAAATGTAGACCTTATTCAAGTTTTGCTGGTCGTTCTGATAATGTTGAGAGCACATTTTACCTTATGCAAAATCTGCTCCAAGATCATGCATTCCATTTAGCTTTTGGGTCTCCTATTCTTCAGTATGAAACAAGTACTGATAGTTTTGATAGTCAAGGTCACTGCATCCCATCAGGAGGCCATGGCATCAGGGAGTCTCATTACTGATGCTGCTGCTGCCAAACACTTATTTAAGGTGCTACTTTATTTCTGTAAAATTGAAACTTTACCTTTGTAATGAGGATGTCATTGGAGAGATTTTGAAACTGTTAGCATTCATTGATGATTTTTGCGTGAATCAGTGGTTACAAAGTAGTGATTTTCTAATGCCATTATTATATTTACATATTTCATTGACATTCTAATGGGTCTAAGTTATTTCATTGACATTCTAATGGGTCTACTAAGTTATTATTGATTTTGATGTTTAAATGGATCCACACTTGGCTACAAGCATTTCATTTAGGTGGCTCCTGAGTCCTACTGACATATGCCCATCATTTTTTGAAGACATCTTACTTTTGGTACATTGAGAGCTTTCAGAATCCTCTGATAACTTTCCTGGCACCAGCATTCTGTCCATGCAGGATAGTGTTTAGAACCAGGCTCCAAGTAATTGTAATCCAGGTTTAAATTACCAATTTTCTGGGGCCGAGGTGTGATTCAGTGATAGAGCACTTGCCTAGGGTGCATGAGACCCTTGCCATACCAGCACTATGGAAATAAAATCAATTTTAAAAATTGTTTCTAGAAATATAAACATCCCCAAATCTTCAGTTTGTTGAATCTGGAATCTTCTTGTTCATGACACTAGTTTTCCACAAATGTTTGCCAATTTGGGGATAATTGCTCATCTTTGTACTAGTGAATCTCTGTCTCCCCTCTGTGTGTCTTGGTTTCCTGGGTTTTTTTTTTTTTTGCTTCTGTGTGTGTTTGTATGAGTATTGAGGTGATGGGACAATAACTGTTTGTTGGAACAAAAATAAAAAGCAATTCTCCATTCTATTCATTTACCTCCAACCTCAGAGAGTTCTGTCATTGTCAAGCCACATTTTAATCTTTCCCAATGGAGAAGGATGGAAATCAGGCTCAGGCTAGAACTGGAGGCAGAGTTTTTATGTTTGTTTTTTTTTTTAATGTTTTTTTTTTTTTTTGTATGTGTATGTGTGTGTGGTTTGATACTGGGAATGGAACCTAGGGGTGCTTTGCCATTGAGCTACATCTTCAGCCCTTTTTGTTTTTTAAGACAGCTAAGTTGCTGAAGCTGGCCTGGAACTTGTGATCCTTCTGCCTCAGCCTCCCAAGTCTCTTGGATTATAGCTGTGTGCCACCACTCCCATCAAATTTTTATGTTTTTGACATAAAGAGTAAAGAAGAACTTCAAAGTGTGAGAGGAAAGGAGACCTTATAAAACCTGTTAGTCAACTTTTCATCTCTGCAAAATGAAATATCTGACAAGAACAACTTAGAGGAGAAAAAGTTTATTTTGAGCTTATGGTTTTGAAACAAGTTTGAGATGAAACTCAGTTCTCTGCTTCTGCTGGTGGGTGGGAGCTGTGTAAGTTGCAGGCTGCTGCAGCTGAGAAAGCCCATTTTTAGTATTAGCAGCTAATCACAGTAGGGATGCCTGGGCATCATCTCCAAGAGTCACAGCAAAGCCAGATTCTTTTTCACTACTATCAGATGGCATGTTGTGGCTCTTTTTTCTTTTTTAAATTTATATAATACAGCAGAATTAAAATTCTTATTACATATATAGAGCACAATTTTTCATATCTCTGGTTGTATACATAGTATATTCACTCCAATTCGTGTCTTCATACCTGTACTTTGGATAATAATGATCATCACATTCCACTATTAGTAATTACCCCATGCCCCCTCCCTTCCCCTCCAACCCCTCTGCCCTATCTAGAGTTCATCTATTCCTCCCACGCTCCCTCTTCCTATCCCACTATGAATCAGCCTCCTTATATCAAAGAAAACATTCAGCATTTGGATTTTGGGGATTGGCTAACTTCACTTAGCATTATCTTCTCTAACTTCATTAATTTACCTACAAATGCCATGATTTTATTCTCTTTATTGCTGAGTAATATTCCATTGTATATATATGCCATATTCTTTTTAATCCATTCATCTGTTGAAGGGCATCTAGGTTGGTTCTACAGTTTAGCTGTTGTGAATTGTGCTGCTATAAACATTGATGTGGCTGTGTCCCTGTAGTATGCTGTTTAAGTCCTTTGGGTATAAACCGAGGAGGGGACAACTGGGTCAAATGGTGGTTCCATTCCCAATTTTCCAAGAAATCTCCATACTACTTTCCATATTGGCTGCACCAATTTGCAGTCCCACCAGCAGTGTATGAGTGTACCTTTTTCCCCAACATCCTCGCCAACACTTATTGTTTGTCTTCATAATAGCTGCCATTCTGACTGGAGTGAGATGAAATCTTAGAGTGGTTTTGATTTGCATTTCTCTAATTGCTAGTGATGATGAACATTTTTCGTGTATTTGTTGACTGATTGCATATCATCTTTTGAGAAGTGTCTCTTCAGGTCCTTGGCCCATTTATTGATTGAGTTATTATTTTGATGTTTAGATTTTTGATTTCTTTATATACCCTAGAGATTAGTGCTCTAACTGATGTGTGAGGGGTAAAGATTTGCTCCCAGAATGTAGACTCTCTATTCACCTCACAGATTCACCTTTTTAGTTTGAGTCCATCCTATCTATTGATTTTTTATTTTAATTCTTGTGCCACAGGAGTCTTACTAAGGAAGTTGGGGCCTAATCCCACATGGTGGAGTTGTCACGGCTCTTAATGGTACACTCTTACCTCCAGTGTTGCAGTGGGCCTCAGAAGCTCACTGCCAATTTCTTTCTGGGTACTTGTCTCACAAATTGAAAGAGTGAAATCCACAGACAATGATGGAAGACAAGAGTGAAAGGAGTAAAATTTATTCAAGTGTGGAGAAAAGAGAGAACTCTCGCAGAGTGAGAGGAGACCTGATAGCAGGTTGCTGTTTAAATGTCCTAGTCTAGGGGCTTATATAGCTATTGAGTGGGGGCACTGATCAATATCTGCATAGATAATAATCAGGTCTTAGAAAAGTTCCAGAGATATTAGTATGGCCTGTGACCTTCTAATTGGCTGTGCCCTTTCAGACCTTGAGTTTGAACTTTCCTGTAACCTCCATTCAAGTCTGCCCCAACTTCTGTTTTGTTTTGTTTTTAACTTTATTTTATTTATTTTTTTATGTGGTGCTGAGGATTGAACTTAGTGCCTCACACATGCTAGGCAAGTGCTTTATCACTGAGCCCAGACCCCAACTGCAGTTTTTCCACTGCTCTGGGACAAAAGCATAGCTAGAATGTGTCTACAGATTATTTTCATGGAGCAGTTTTTACATTTGGGGAAAAACTTAATTGGGGTCCATTACCTATCCTCTCTTATTCAGTTTCAGAGGTTCAGTCTATGGTCAACTGGCTCCATTGCTCTGGGCCTGAGAGGAGGAAGAACATGGTTGTCAAAAAGCATAGGGGAGAAAAGCTGCTCAGTTCTTGGCAACTGGGAAGCAGAAAGAGCAGGAAGGAGCCAGGGACAAGTATAATCCCCAAGGGCATGCCCCAGTGACCTACTTCCTCCAGCCATGCCCTACCTGCCTATAGCTACCACACTGTAGTCCATTCAAATTGTTAATCCAGCAAATGGATTAATCCACCGATGAAGTTATAGCTCATTTTCTAAATATATAATCATTTTCTAAAACCTTGCTGCCTTCGAAGCCATGTTTTCACATCACTTCCTTTTGGGGGACATTCCAGATCTAAACTATAACAAATTTGTGTGTGTGTGTGTGTGTGTGTGTGCGCGCACGCACACAGATCTGTGGTGCTAGAGATAGAACCCAGAGGCCTTGTGCATATTAGGCAAGTACTGTAGCACTAAGCCATACCCCCAGCCTAAAAAATATACTTCTTACAGACTATACCCTCCTTACAGTGTTCCTGAAATAAAAGTAAAGGACAGAAGTTATTTTAACATGACATGTTGGTGTGGGGAGTCATATTCTGCATTGACCCCTACAGGTCCTGACTCCCAGTGTGGTCACACTTGTTTGGGGCAGCAGTTCCCTGCCTCCAGAGGGTCAGCAGTCATCCTGTTCTGGGTTCTTATTCAGCCCCATGAACCCAAGTATAGGGGCTGTGTTTGAGTTTGAAACCATTCCTATCTCTCCATTAATCTCAAGTGTTTGGGATTTTCTGTCTGATCCTTTTTACGTTTTTTGATTTCTTTTCTTTCTTTTTTTTTGGGGGGGGGTGGAAATAACTACAATGGCTGGGCGCTGTGGTACACATCTATAATCCCAGCAGCTCAGGAGGGTGAGACAGGAAGATAGAGGGTTCAAAGCCAGCCTTCAAAAAGGTAAGGCACTAAGCAACTCAGTGAGACCCTGTTTCTAAATAAAATACAAAATAGAGCTGGGGATGTGGCTCAGTGGTAAAGTGCTCCTGAGTTCAATTCCCAGTACCCTGCCCCTAAAATTTTTTTTTTTTTTTTTTTTACATACTAGGGATTGAACATGGGAAAACTCTACCACTGAGCTAAAATTTTTTTTTTTTTTTTTTTTTTTTACTAAAATGTCTTTATGTGCTTATGGTACCCTTTCCTGCTTTGCAATATTTTAAAAATATTTTTATGAACTCCCCCTGCTCCGGGTTTGGGGAAGTTCCACTGTGTGTTTGACCCTTGTGTTGTTCTGGGGCCTCAAGTAAGGAGTTTTTAACATTTGCCTGGATCACAGGAGTCTCCCTGGAAGGGCACTGAGAAAGTCTCTACCCAGAGTTAGTTACCTCAGCAGAGGTAAGAAATCTCAGAGGAAGTTAAGATTTCTTGCTGACCTAGGTTTCTAATCGTAGAACTGTGTAAATAGAAAATTTGTACTTAAGGTTTTATGATGTGCAATCACATATGTTTTGTTGTATGGAAGGCACCCTAGCTAAAAAAAACCATGATTCTAGAAATGTCAGGAGTGCCTGATACAAAGCTGCTGGCAGAGTTAGCCAGGTTAGCTTTTATTTACAATCTTCCTGTTGAAGAGCACTTATCCTCTGAAGTTGGAGGACAGGCACCCTTTATGGACAAGGTTAATTCACTCTGCTTATTATGTGCAAAAAATTCCAAATGGAAGTCTTAATGAATAAGACCACACTGCCCTAATGTTTCAGCTTTAGTCATCAGCAGGATCTGCTCAATAGCAATAAGAAGATCCAAGACAGGTTGGTCTGGCTGGCAGCAGGAGTGACATCCTTCAGGAACTATAGTCTTGGACTTGCCATGGCCCAACTACATATACCCAGGATCAGGAATGGCCTTGGCAACTGAGAGCTTCATTGGAGGTGAACAAGATTCAATCTGTGGTCAAGGTCAAGAATACTTAATGAGAGAGCTGTTAGATTGATCACCTCACAACTATGAATTGACAAAGTTTTGAAGAGTTGTGATTTACCCAAAGTCAAACCATCAGTGGCAGAGTAGCCTGGAAAATTTTAACATTGATATTTTAGTAATTGAGTTTATAAAGCTTTCTGGCAAATAAATTCAGAGGGGAAATTTGAATGAATGACTCCAGGGAAATTACAAGGCATACTAGAAACCTTGTTAACACAACCACCAACTTATTACCCAGACCAATCTGATTTTCTTGTAAAGATTATATTCAATAAATATTGGGGCTGGGGTTGTGGCCCAGCGGTAGAGCGCTTGCCTCGCACGTGTGAGACCCTGGGTTTGATCCTCAGCACCACATAAAAATAAACAAACAAAATAAAGATATATATTTTTAAAGTCTTTTAAAAAAATTCAACAAATATTGAATATTACCCCCCAAAATTCCACTCTATTTTCCAACAACCGATGACTGCTTTCTCAAGGTTGTTTCCTCTAGGATCTGAAAATTTTTGAAAACCACATGTTTATATTGCAGGAATAATTGCTTTTCTTTGCTATACTGTCTGGTATCAATGTCATGGCCCAGTGTGGAAGCCACTGTCTATTTCATGTAAAATTAACTGAAATTGCTGAAGTCAAACTGGGCCTAGAATAATGAGAATCACATTGATCTCACATAGTCTCATTGTTGTCCCATATCTCCACGTACTTTGCCAAATGTTTTCTCTCTCCAAAAGTAAATGAGGCAGGGGTTGGGGTTGTGGCTCAGTGCTAGAGCACTCGCCTAGCACGTTCGAGGCCCTGGGTTCGATCCTCAGCACCATATAAAAATAAATAAACAAAACAAAGGTATTGTGTACAACTAAAAAATAAATATTAAAAAAAGTAAATGAGGCAGAGATTTGAAGGGCATCACTTTATTCCAAAAGTTGATCATCATCGAGGGAGATTTTATTCCTTCACTTCTTCCTCCCTCAGCACCCTTCCTGGTTAGAGATGCTAAGAAGTAGTACAGTCATGATATACTGGATGAAGTAAAAACAGTGAAGGCTACATACATTTTAGTTTCTATTTGGCATGTCTTGGCCTTTACCCTGAATAAGTCTAGGAGAAAAGGATGTGAAATTAAAATTATAGGTACAGATAAAGACGAAGAATGAAGCCGAATATGCTGATTTTGTTGCCCTTGATTAACTCAACAGGACTTTGCTCCATTTCTAATTGATAGAGACCAAAAGGGTTGGTTTTATCTTGTCCTGTAACAGCTGAATACTGGGTTCCAATTTTGGCTTAAATGTCACCTCTGCTTTTTTTGTTTGTGTTTTGTTTTGCAATTCTGAGGACTGTACCCAGGTCCTCATGCATTCGAGGCAAGTAGTCTACCACTGAGGTATATCCATCCCATCACCTCCTGGGGAAAAAAAAAAATGACTTTCTAGCATATAATTAGGGAGAAGAGGAAGCAGAGAGATTTAAAGTGTATAAAAGTTCCCAGCAACAGGAAGAGCAAAATACCAAAGAAGTCTGTAGAATGCAGGGTATGGCCAAGAGCCAGAGTCCAAACCATGCTATCTGAGAAGGCAGTTGGAGCTGAGGTTCACACTTCCAGGAACTGCCCAGAGAGAAGCAGTCTTTCTCTCCTCCTCTTTGAGGAATACCCCAACCCAGTGCATCTAGAGGGAACCACAGAACTAGATATCATGTGGTCTTTTGTAGAGGGTTTCCAGAGAAGAGCTAGGCCAACTGGATGGTCTCCAGACCATTCATTGCCAGGTGGGGCCTCAGGCCAAGAAGAGCAGGCAGGTCCCTGATGTCTGATGAGAGCTGTACCCAGGTTTCAGGTCTTGAACATCAGGAAGCCCCCAAATGCAGTGCCTGGTGGGCTTCTCTTGGTTATTGATCCCTGAGTTAACTCAAACCATACCCTCTCACCCTTTTGTAGCTCAACCATAGCAAAGGTTGTGGCTGTGCTTCCACCACTCTGCCCTGTTGTACAGACTGGGGTCCGATGGTGACCTCCAAATACCAGCTGCCCCGTGCCCGGGCCTGGGCCAAATTCAATGCTCACTGCAAATAGATAAACGCCACGCTCAGGGGCTCGGAAGTAGCCGTGTTCAGGGAAGTAGCTGCTGCCAACATTGATGGACATGGTGTCGAACTTCACTGTCTGCAGGGCAGCTGTACCTTCTGAAAAGCTGGTATAGAAGGCCACAGGGGAGCCTGAAATGAAGGAGGAAGAGTGCTCAGTGACTTGGTCTTTCACTCCCTTGGGTGAAAAATTAAAAGCCGAGACCTGCCATTGTAGGGGGTCACCCTGGACAGGAGCTATGCACACACCTTTAAGTCCTGAGTAAAGAGGTACTGGACTGACATTGCCCCTTTTACAATGGAGTGCACTTGCCTCTGCTGGGACAGAAGGTGCAGCTCTGGATTATATCCCCAGCCCTTAAAAAGAATTTTTTTAAAAAATTTTGAGGGTCTCACTAAGTTGTCAAGACCAGCCTCAAAACTTGTGATCCTCTTGCCTTAACCCCAACTGAGCCACCATGCCTAGCTTAACTAAGCACTTTCTGGTTTGATCCATTTTCTCACAACTTTCTTAAGAGAAAAGAGTCCCTGAGGAAGAAAACTGAGGCTTAATCTTTAGCTGGCTGCTCAAGGAGATATGGTTTGCAAATGGCAAGCTGAGACAGGAATGACTTCCAGATGACTGCTACCTTTGAGGAATCTTGAGACACCCAGGGGAAAGAGAATCATTTAGTTTCCTCAAGATAACTGAGAAGCAGTGAAGGTGTTTCCTATTGTATGTGGGCACAGGAGCTTAAAGCAAGAAGGAAACAGAAGCCTCCTTCAACTGACCTTCTCAGTGTGGTTTCCAAAGTGCTGCACAGAGATTACAGATGGAGAAACTGAGGCCCAGAAAGAGACAACTTGTAGCTTCAGATCACACAACCAATTACCACGCTGTGAGCAGACCTCGGATCTCTTGATTTTGTGCCTGCTTTCCTCATTTGCAGAAACAATTTCTCTGGGCTTAGGAGGATAATCCTGCTGGAGACACCAGGCCCCCACACAAGCTTGGAGACAGAGGAAGTCATGTGTACAGGGATGAAGGAGCCTGCTGGCTGCCCGGCCAGGGAGGACAGAACCACAAGATGGGACAGGAGGTCTGGAGTTGCAGCTCAGTGTTAGAGCACTTGTCTAGAGCATGTGAATCACTGGGTCCAATCCTCAGCACCACATAAAAAAATAAAAAAATAAATAAATAAATGTACTGTGTCCATCTGCAACTAAAAAAAAAAAAAAAAAGTGAGGTTCCACTCGAGACCCTGCCGTGACCTTGGCACCATTTTTTTTAAAAGAATATTTAATTTTTAGTTGTAGTTGGATACAATGCCCTTATTTTACTTATTATATGTGGTGCTGAGGATTGAAACCGGAGCCGCGCACGTGCTAGGGAGTGGTCTACCGCTGAGCCATAAGCCCAGCCTTCCTTGTGTTTTTTTTTTTTTCAATATGTTTTCTCTGGGGAAGAGAGAGAATTTGAGACTAAGCTCCCCATTTTTCAGGAAAGAAACCAAGTCCTCACATAACAGTTAGTGACTTAGGCTCCTAAACTAGAACCCAGATTTGTGACTCCCAGTCCAGCAATAATAAAATTATTCTTTTCTCTAGTTCTGGAAGATTTTTCTAACAATTAGCTTGGAAGAGTAACTGTGCCAAGGAAAGGCAGGCGGCTGGTGCTGCAGTTCTGCAAATACCCAGAAGGTGGGGCCCTTGCCCAGTTGATAAAGAGCTGGTTGACACGCCCTCTGCCGATAATGGGTCCTCTCTCACCCTGCTGTCCCTGGGAGTTCCTTCACCTTACAGCTAAAATCCCAACATGCCCTTCATGTTGGTGGAAGGGTTGTGCACGTCCCTGTAGGGCACAAATCCAAGTCCTAAGGACTTTCTGTAAGACAAATAAAGGGGGTTTTTAAAGGAAAAAATATGTTTTGAAATAACAAAATACTGCAATGGTAAACACGGATCCCTAAATCATTAAGCAAAATCTGAATGTCATCAGTATAAAGACCTTGAGCCACTCACAAGAGGAAAACAGTATGGAAGTAGTAGTGTAAGTGGACACAGCCTCAGCTGCGAAAATGCTGTGGAAAAGACACTTGGGTCTTGTACTAGGTATTTGGAAGATGTAGCTGTCAGTCTTCATAACTCTTTGATGCAAGTAGTGATTGTCCCATTTTACAGAGGAAGAAACTGAGACAAGTGATTGAGAGTGTGAGTTCTTTCCACTACCCTCCACACTGCCTCCTGGGCTCTAATGGAGGGCAGCAGGGATAGCATGGGCTGAGATGGGCCTTCAGCAAGGTTCACACTTCCCGCTTACCAACCTATGCCAGGGTATAGGCAGCCATGATGGTGGCTTTATACTTAGCCCTGTGACTGGATGAAGAAGGGGCCCCCATGCCAAGGCTAGCTTTTCTGGAAGATAGAATCACTTGAAACACGGATCCACCCTCAGGGAAAGGTAGGTATATTGGCCTCAAACTCAGAGCAAGCTTGTAGACCTAGAGCCTGGGGCCCTGCAGAAACCAACCTTCAACGGCCCCAGAAGGGGAAAGTCAGCACCCTAGAGACAGCTTCTCTGTGATGTTCTTCAGCTGTGTGATCTGGTCACTTTCTGGGTTTGAGCCTTGGTTTCAGGTAAGATGGTAATGATAGTGATGGATTGCTGAGCTATTGTGATTATTCATCATGATAAAGCCCAAGAAGGAGCCGGGCATGGTGGTACACACCAGTAATCCCAGCTATTCAGAAAGCTGCAGCAGGAAGATTGCAGGTTCTAGGCCAGCATGAGCGACTTACCAAGACACTATCTCAAAAAATAAGAAGGACTGAGGATGTACCACTGAGTAGAGTACCCCCAATCAATCCCCAGTATTGGAAAAAAAAAAAAAGTCCAAAAGGGGCATTGCAGGGGCCTGGCACAGAGTGATGAAACAGACCAACTGGACTTGCTGAATATGGACTGCTTTCAGAGCCCAAGGCTTCTTCCTACATTCCCTTCTTGTTGGGTGCTGCCATTTGCAGGCCCCATCACAATTCCTATACCAGGGTAAGCTGGTTAGTGGGGGGTGACAGGGTTGTGAAGAGCTGAAATGAAGGAATTTGAGGGAATGCCATGGAAGGAAGAAAGGCCCTCCCCCTCTGTCCACAGTTGGGACTCAGGTAGCCAACAGTGTTTAGAGCCTCTGATGGTTTAACATGGAAGTGACACTGTTGCTGGATCAAGGGCTTTGACACCAACAGTTATTCTCATGACTTTTACCTACCTGTACTCCAGAGAGCTTAAGAGGAAAGAAGGTGAGTCAAGGAGAAGATGGGTAGTGGTGACTGATGACCAACCTGGTTTCTTTCATCCTGTCCCTCTCCAGGGTAGACCAGCTGCTGGGCTGTCAGACATCACTGTCCTCTACATCTGCTCAGACTTCCCAACCCAGGCACTCACCTGCCTCCCAAAGCTCTGCGCCCAGGGCATCTTGCTCCAGTCCTTTGGCATGTGCATCCACCCAAGATGCCACTTGCTTTTTGTCCCTCTTCCTGGGAGTTTCCACACCTTTCTGCTCCTTCTTCCCTTTTCTGTTCAGCATGGCCTGCAGCTTCCCCAGGTCTAGGCTGGTATTGGTTGCCATCAGCCCTTGGAAGTTCCCAAAGAGGCTGTGGAAGAGCCTCTCATGCTGCTCCAAGCCACGCTCAGTGGTGGAGAGGGCATGGTGGAGGCCCTCAAGGGAGCCATTGAGGGAGGCAGCCCAGGAGGCATCGCAGCACTGCCCCACGCGCTTGACGTCAGAGCTCAGGCGCTGGAGCTCTTGCTCCAGCCCAGCCAGGGCGGTGGTGGCTCCTGCATCTTCCAGCTGGGCATCGTGGCTGGGCTCCAGGTGCTCTGCCCGCCTTGAAGGCTCTGAGCGGTGACTCGCATCCTGCTCCAGAGCTGCCACCCGGGCGGCCAACTCGTCCCAGCCGAGCGCCTGCTCCTGCAACCCACTGGCAGCCTCCTGCAGGGCGACACGGATCTGGTCATAACGCAAGGGCAGCGGGCCAGGTGCCTCTTCTGACATGTCCTCCATCACCTCCTCACCAAAGAGCGCGGCCAGCACAGCTTCGTGGCGCAGTGCGTCTTCCAGCAGGGCTGCAAAGGAGCTGTGTAGCTGGCTTATCTCGAGGCGGGTCTCTTCCGCGCCTGTCTTCAGCGCGCCCACCTGGCCATCCAACGCCTGCAGCTGGCTCCGGAGCCGGGCCCTCTCGGCCCGCGCCTGCCTGCCCTCCTCTTTGTGCACATCCACCTCCAGAGTCACAGCATCCAGGGCGTTCCTCAGGGCCTGCAGTGAGGAGCCGTCCAGCTGGCGCCGCTCATCCAGGCTCACCTGGGTTTCCTCCAAGGCGCGAGTGGCATCCTTCTGATCTTCCCTGATGACATCCAGGTCAAAGTAGAGCTTCTGGCAATTGCAGTCCTTGATGTACTTGATGAGGTCGGCGTGGGCGCCCTGCAGGTGCTGGAGGGTGAGATTGAGCTCCAGGAGCTGTCTCTCCATCTCTTCCTTGTTTTCCTCCATGATCAGAGACTTCTCCATCAGGATTACTCTCAGCTCTCGCAGAGCCGTGTGGTTCACCTGTAGCTCCTCCACCTGCCGCTCCACCTTGCTGATCTGATCAAAGGTTTCGTCCGACTCAGAGTATAGCTCCTTGATTTCTTCCACATGCTGGGCCAGGGTGGCCCTCATGTCCCTGAGGGTGCTCTGCAATTCTTCTTCCCTCTGGCTGGTGGCCACATGCAGGGCTGAGATGTTTCTCTGCAGCTGGCCCAGTCTGGCCTGCAGGCTCTCTGGCTCTGGCTTTGCTGCTGCCCCTGCTGCTGCCATCACCAGGCTGCCATTAGCCCCTGGGGACTCCTGGATCTTGAGCAAGTTCTTTAACTTGGTATCCACATCAGCCTGGACCTCAGACAGGGAGTGCTGCAGGGAGAGGTGCTGGGTGTGCAGATGATCCTCCACATCCTTGCGTAGCTGGCTCACTCTTTGGGCATTCTCTTGAACTTTGGCTTCAAATTTGGCACCAAGCTCCTGAAACTCTGCTCTGCCCACAGCACTCTCCTGGACCCTCTTGATGGCCTGGCGGTTGGCCTCTACGTCAAGAGACAGGTTTCTTATAGCCTGGGAGAGGCTGTGCAGGCTCTGGTTGAAGCTCTTCCAGATAGGGCTGAAATGTGCTTGCAGGAAGGTGTCCATGTGGGGCAGCAGCACTTGCTCCAAGGACCTGCCAGGAAACTCTGCAACAGACGCATGTGTTTACATAAGTACACAGCAACAGACAGCCCTCCCCAGTGGGGACTAGCAGGGCCTCTGAAATCTGGGCCTTCTCTAGAACCTGCTACTCACCCAGCTCCGTTTGATTTGCCTGTGTGGTTGCAGATGTCTCTGTTGTTGCAGCCTTCCACAGCCCGGGGAGGCTGTCTGCCGCCTGGTCGACATCATTCTGGAGATCTTCCAGTAGGTGTTCCTGCTGTTCATGCTGCACCTGGACATCAACCTCCTCTACCTCGTTGAGCTCTGCAGTGGGGTGGCCTGAATACACAGCAGACACAAGTGTTGAAGCCTAACTTGCCAGGCTTAGGCAGATCATGAAGTCCAGAGAGGATTTGGGAGCCAAGAGCAAGGGAGGGGAGGTGCATGCTAACAGTCTTTGAGCTGGAACTTAGAAGACTTCAACCCCAGAAAGGCAAATGCATGACAACTGAGTTCTCACCTTCCTTCCCACACCCACAGCAGACATGACTAGTCAATCCCAGCATATTTCCTTCCCTAGCTACAATGACATTCTCTGTGTTCCCTGTCAATTGACAGGAGTTCATCACAGGATGAAACTCATTGCCCATCCCACCCTTGGGCCCAGCCTTGAAAGACAACACAAATGATATCTCTTGGTGGCCCTCTTGTGTTGACTGCACAGACCAGAGATGACATAACTTTCTGGCCCTGGTTAAGGGTAGGGGAGAGGGTGAGGAAGTGTCTTCCAGCCCAGGAGCTTGTGTAGTTCAGAGGTCAAGGAAGGTGCCAGATAACACTGTCTCACAGAAAATGGGGTCCAGGAAAAGGAGATGTGTGTTCAGGCCCTGCCTCCTGGGGAAGAGCATGCAAGGAACAAGGGGGCCCTTTCTGATTCCAGGCCCAAAGTTTTCCTTAAAAGGCACTGTCTCGAGGGGAGGAAGGAAGGGACACATGAACTCTGCCCGACCTGCACCTTCCAGGAAAGCAACACACCAAGTTCGAAGTTGACCAACTGGTCCCGCGGCTTCTGGGGGTCATTCCTTGGTTCTGCAGGCTCCGGGGTTGCTGTGGGATCTGCAGAGGAAGCATGGAATGTTGACCCTGGAGGCCAGAGGAACTGCAGGACCTCTGGAGTCAAGGAAGGCGGGGAGCCCTACCGTGATGCTGACAGTCGGGGCCCTTGAAGCCTGGGCAGCACCTCCAGGCCATGGAGATCAGAACCTTCTGCTTCACCTGGTATATCGGCTTGTGGGCCACACTGTACCTGGGGGAGGAGGGTGGCTCAGCGACTCCAAAGGGAGCCCACAGGGACCATGCAAATGGCCCGCCTGCCCCAACTCACATGACTTTGACTCTCTGGCAGTCTGAAGCCCCCACTGGACATGGCTGTTGTGAGTGGACCAGGAATTTCTCCGTTTTGCAAGCAGCAACATAGGTGACCAGTCTGGACTGCTGGTAAGGGCACCAGTTACTGGAAAATAAACCAGAGAAGAGGGCTGCTGAGTCATGCCCAGGTGCCCCAATAATCCCCTTAGGAGTCTACAGAGACTGCTAGTGCAGGGCACCCAATAATGCCCCCTGACCCACCCAGTACTGGGACTCTGGAATCCATTAGCGTAATAAGGGGGTGCTCTGCATTATCTATCCTCAGGGCTCTAAAGCAACGCTCCACAAACCCTACCTGCAAGGGCACCTGCTTCACTGCCTTCTTGAAACCTCCTCCAGGGCAGCACAGAGAGGCTAGGGAGCTCGTCTACTATCACACAGCGAATGTACCTGCAGAGCCAGAGGACTCTTGCTGTTTCCCCTGTGCGAGGGAGGCAGCATGGTGTGTAGTTGGAGCTGGAGAGTCCTGGGTTCTAATGCTTTACACTTTCTGGCTGTGTGCTTCCAGCAAGGCATGTAGGGAGTTTCCTTCTCTGTGCTAAACCATGAAGATGGCAATGTCCTCCAGGAGTGAGTGGACAAGTACCAAATGCCTGACTCCAGACTAGTGCTCTGTGAATGCTGCTCCTACCCCATGTGACAGCCTGCCCGATCCTACTTACCAGAAACCCCATCGTAGTGAGGGCTCCTGCTCCCTGACCTTGCCCATTAGAACCTTGATGGAAATGGACTTAGCAGTGATCATTGTAGGAGGAGGCGCCTGGGCAGGGCAGCTTCCTCTCTGGGAAAGGCCTCTGCCTTGTGTTCCTACAGGGTGGTTTGGGGAGTCACACTCAGCATCCTGCACACCTGAGGGGTAATGCCTCCATCTTTGCTCTTCACAGAATGGGCTGTGGTGGTTCTGGAAGCAGTGAGATGTACATGCTGACAGGGACCCAGCTCACTGTCCAGGTGGCTGGCTCCATGAGGTCAGTGGGAAGGTCAAGCCCCACCCTACCCCTGCAGCTAGCAAAGCTCCCCAGAGATGCAAGACACAATGACCTCCACAGTCCAGTTCAGCTCAGCAAATCTTGGGTGCCAGGTGCTGGGCACTTGCAATGGCGTGACAGAGGCACAGACCTTCCCTTCCGGGTTTCCAGGGAGAGCAGGCAATCTTAGAGCCACAAAGGCTGGAACCTGAGGAGGCTCTGAGAGGAGGTAATAAAGGGGCTGTGTCTTAAAGGGAGAGGAGCTGGGATGGGTGAGGGGGAAGGAAGGGCTGAAAGGAGGAGGTGGAGGAGGTAGGAAGCCAGACTGCGGAGGGGTGAGTGCTAGTGGAGGAGCTACGCTGTCCTGAGGGCATGGAAGTCAGGGAAGGGGTTTAAGCAAGTCACATGAAAGAGCCACCCTGGTTCCTGGGCACAGAAAAGACAGGGGTGGGTAAGAGATAGGTGGTTGTAACAGGGTCTAGTGGGGAGGGGAAGGCCCTGACCCACCCAGTACATATCACTGGGACTGGCTGATATGGGAGAAGTGGCCATACCGTGAGATGTTAGAAGGCAGTGTTCAGGAACCTTGGTGATGGAGTTGCCTGTTTGTGTTGGGATTTTATTTTTCTGCATCATCAAAGATATTGCTGGGGAAGGAGAGGGACTGAGGCATTGAGAGACCACATCCATTATGGGCATGAGACTCCTGCTTTCCCACTTGGTTCCCAGAAGCCTGGCAGCCAGCCTTTACCCTCTAGTAAGCAGGCTGGAAAAGCTTCTCAGGAAAATGACCCAGTCCCAGAGGGAAAAAATAAAAATGCTGACATCAGGGTTGCCCCCGGTAAAGTAGCCCAGCCAGAGAATCCTGTAACAAAACAAATCAGAAAGCCACATCTCCGGACCTCAGTTTTTCAGTCTGCTTACTCTTTAGTAGGCATGTGGTTTAGTAACAGCATGTGTTGAGCATGCAGGAGCCTCAAGTTCAATCCCCCACATTGAAAGCAAACAAACAAAGGCAGAAGGAGGTCCAAAAGAGCTCATAGAATAAAGTCAACTTGGATGTAAACCAAGAGTGTGCAGGGAAAAGAAAACTTTCCAAAAATGTTGTACTAATATTTCCAGATTGATAAGACAGTGACCACATCCAAGAAACAAGAACAGGAAATTATGGAAAAGACACTGGGCAGGGTGGGGGGATTCCAAGAAGAAAAGGAACTTGTAAAAATTAAAAACTAAACATTAGAAATGAAAAAGAAATATAATCACAATGATATGGCTAGAGCGTAAAGTTAAAGAAATTTTCCTAAAACAAGAGCAAACAGAGATGTAAAAGAGGAGAGAAAATTTAAGAAAACTAGAGCACAGTCCTGGAAATCCAACATCCAAACAATAAGAGTTCCAGAAAGAGAGAACAAAGGGAAAAAGTCATTGATTGAAAAAAAAATCAAAAACATATTCCAGAAATGAAGGACTTGAGTTTCCTGATTCAAAGGCCCACCAGTTACCTGCAATAAGGTGGAAACAAAGTCATATCAAAGCATATCATCAAGAAATTTTAGAATTCTGGGGACAAGATGGTTCTATGTGCTTCCAGAGAAAAACAAGGACACACACACACACACACACACACACAGACACAGACACAGACATACACACACAGAGACACATAGACACACACAGAGACACATAGCACACACACAGACACACAGACATACACACAGACACATAGACACACACAGAGACAGACACACAGACACATAGACACACACAGAGACACCTAGACACACAGACACATAGACACACACACACAGACACATAGACACACAGACACACACACAGAGACACACAGACACACACATACACAGAGACACACACAGACATTAGCAAATGGAATAGTCTTTTCCTACCCCAGGCAAGTTAAAGGAGACTCTCTGAGGTTGGGGACTGAACATAGAAATCTAGAGCTCCACTAGATGGCCAAGGTACAGCCCAGGACTGAGTCTCACTGTGGCACTGGAAAGGCTCCACCAAAACAGAAGAGAAATCAAGACAGAGGAAAGCATGAGTTCAGGAATCGGGTTCCCACACGGAATCAGGATGGAGGGAGCCTCCAGGAAGATGGTGAAGGGCAACAGTGCGCTGTGGGGACATAGCAACAGCCTAGACTGGAACGCACCAGGCAGCTCTGAGAGAGGCATCACCAAAAGGACAGAGTTGGTCAAACACCTAACATAAACCAGTAGCTGAGGGGTTGGGATTGAGTTAATGACAAGGACACAGAAAAACAAGGAAGGAAAAAACAAGATAATTTTTTTTTACTCCAGGGAAAGCTAAAAGTATGTAGGGGAAAAATATTCATAGTTTATTTTAAGACCCAACTCTCCAAATATATCCCTTTATAGTCGTAGGGATATAAATACTCAAACTGATAACATGAGAGAGTGGCGGGTGGATGCTGTGTGCTCACGCACAATTCACTTCTGGGTTGGGGTATGGGGTAAGAATGGGAGCTGAGTCATAGGTAATCCTACCTCCTGAGTAGAAATATAGCATGTTATTTGGAGATACAGAGATAAATGCTAAAAGAATCAGCTAAACAATGGAAAGTCATTGCCTTCATAGCGCAGAGAGGGCAGGGCGTTTATTAGGCTCAAGGAACCTTGTAGATCTGGTTGACTGTAACCCAAGGGTCAATAAACTTCTCTAAAGGGACAAATAGTAAATACACAAGAGCAGCTACAAGCCAGGGATGGCGCTATGTACCGATATTTCCAGCGACATGGGAGGCTGAGGCAAGAGGACAACAAGTTCAAGGTCAGCCTCAGCAATCTATTGAGACCCTGTCTCAAATAAAAATAAAAAGGGGCTGGGGATGTAGCTCAGTAGTAAAATGCCCTGGGTTCAATTCCCAGTACCACCAAAAAAATAAAATAAAAGGAAAGGAAAACAAAAAGACTAATTTGCAGGGCCCAGTGTAAATTGAAAACGTCATTTCCTTGTTCAAAACTATTAAGAATCTCAAGATGGCAACAGCAGAGATCAAACCAAATGTAGGCCCTTCAGAGTCCTTGTGGGGCCCCAGGGCAGGGCCTTGTTTATGTGCCTGGGCACCTCGCATGCCCATGAACCTGGCCTGATTTTAGTCTTCCCAAGTCCCAGAGATTCTGTCACATCTACTCAACACTACCATTGTAGCACACAAGTGGTCACTGACAGTATGTAAATGAATGAGTCCCGCTGTGTTCCAATAAAACTTTATTGAAACAAAAAAGGTGGTGGGACAGATTTGGCCCATTGGCCATAGTTTTCTGACCCCTGCCTCTGGGTATGTATAATTAATAAGGATAAAACTTTAAAAAAAAATCATTTTCATCTGTAAAAGAAAACTCGGATGAGTAGGGAAGAACATTTTGAGAGAACAATGAATGAGGAGTTTCCTTTCTAACCATCAAGACCCACGCTAGGGCTGTCGGCATGGCTCAGGGATAGAGCACTTGCCTCATATGCCCAAGACCCTGGGTTCTTTACCCAGCCCCGTTAAAACAAATAAGAGAAAAAAAATTAAGATGATGCGATCTAAACCACAGATGTGGTGACACACACGTGTAATCCCAGAGACTCGGGGGGGCTGAGGCAGGAGGATCACAAGTTGAAGGCCCATCTCTACAATTTAGCGAGACCCTTTTACAAAATAAAATAAGACAGGGCTAGGGGTGTAGCATCCCTACGTTCATTCAGTACCACCACCACCAAAAAAAAAAAAAAAAAAGCCGAATCATGAAAACAATGGGACATTGTCACGTGTTTGACGTGCCAATCAATAGTACAGAGACCAGAAAGGGGCACATGCATCCCTGAGGGATGAGCAAATGGCAATGCAAGCTCATCAAAATCAGGCTGAAAGGAAGGAATGTTCCCTCAATGCTGAAGCACTGTGTAGTGCTGGACCTGGAGCTCAGGCGCTTGGGAGATGTGGGTGAGGAGCTGCCTGTCACAGACACATCACCCTGGGCCTCCTAAAAGTTTCTAGAACAAGGGCCTCTATATCTCTCTAAACCAGTGGTTTTCAGTAGGGTACAGGGGAAATTCTTCAGTTGCATTTGGCAAGGGTCTGGGGACATTGTGTTGTAACTGGGTGGTGGGTGCTGTTGGTATCTAGTGGTCAGAGGCCAAGAATGCTGTTCAACACTCCCAGATGCACCGCACAGCCTCCAACAGCCCCCGACAGCAAGGAAGTATCCAGCCCAAAATGCCAAGAGCGCCAAGGCTGAGAGACACCCTGTCTAAACAAGTCACATTCTTCACACACCCTCTGACCTACTGCAGAGGGCCCGGAAGGCCTGTGCCCTGGGCGCGCCTGGCCTAGACCAGTCTGCCAGAAGTGAGCAGTAATTTACACCTCTAACAACTCCTAGAACTGGAAGCGGTGCTGCCCACCCTTCCTGCCTGGGAACTTTCTCTTCTGACCTGCCCAAACCCTGGACTCTAGAGGCCACTATTCCCCTACTGTGCTCCCCCTCCCTTGGCAATCCCTCCCTTGGCATAGTGCAGGCTGCTGGCCCTGAAGCCCTGGGAACATTCCTAACCTTTGCTTTGGTTTCCTCTGGCTCTTGGCAGCCCCCGGCTGGCTTTGGCACGCATGCCTTGGGCCCCACATGTACAAGTGCCCCATTGTTTCCATGACCCTCTGTCTCAGGCCTGCTCCCACTTTGCAACCTCCCCTGGGAAGCTCTATGAGTGCCTTTACCTCCCAACAGTCTACCGAGGGGCAGGTGCCAATGTAGAAGGAGTGTGGGTTCCTCTGGCCTGGTTTGTACCTGCCCATGGCCCCAACCTAATGCCTGCCCTAAACCGGAGGAGCTGCCAACCCCTGACAGGAGCAGGGAGGCATGGAGCTCTCCTCCCCTTCCTTCCCTGGACTGGGTGACCTTGAGCAAGTCCTCCCCCTCCTCCTGGAAATGTGCAGAAGCTGCATCCCTGGGGACACAGAGAGGAGAGCGCGGGGAAGGCAGAGCCGGGAGCCAGAGCTTCCTGCATAATGGATCTGCTAATGCATGTGCTGTCCAGAAAGCAGGGCACTTAAGTGCCTCTTAACCAGCCAGTAACCCCACCCGACCAAGCCTCAAGTCTTCCTGGGGAAGGAGGGCGAGTTCTCAGCAGCCTTTCTTTCTGAGGATCTGAGTCCAGCCATTAGCATGCATATCCCAGGAGAGACACTCAAGGACTTTGTCCCTGAGCCAGAGAGGGGACTTCACAGAGAAGTGTGAAGCCCACTGGGCTGCCAGCCTTAAGTGTGGGCCTGGGAGTCTCAGCTCTGACCAGTAGGGGTGCTTTCCAGTTCCCACACAGGGCCTTGTGTCCAGGAGTGGGAACACATGGCCACCCTGGCTCCCACCTGACTCCTGGGACCTTCAGCAACATATTGGACTTTTCTGGGTCTCCAGATCCCACTGCAAAAATCCCAAACACTCAGGCAGAAGCCTGAGGCTGGTGATGGGCCAGCTGGGCGGCTGGCAGAGGCATCCCTGTGCTCCCACTCCTCTTGTGGGGACAGAATAGAGGACACCTGGGGTTTGCAGCCCAGCTGTTGTGGAACCTGACTCTGACCCATCACTTAGGAGCCCTGAGTCCCTGAGTGGTGTCCCTAGGCCTCCAAGCTGTGATGATTACTGTGGAGAGCAGGGTACTTGCCCAGGCTCCGCAATCCCTACCTGGACTAGAGCACACCCACTAGGGTCCAAGGGGCCCACATTCTTACACACCTCACCCAAGCCACGGAGCTGGTATGAGCCTCCTCTTCATGGAGTCCAAATATTCATGTTGCTGGATCCCCTACCCTGACCTGGTGGGGTCCCAGGGACCTAAGAACCGGCTAACCATGTCCCTCCTCTACCCGAGGACCTGGCAATCTGGGGATATGGGGCATCAGGCACTGAGTAATTCTGTTCAAGCTTGTCTTTCCAAAGCATTTGATCTGGTTCTGTGTCCGGGGCCCGCCCTGTTTCTGGAGTTCTGGAAACAGGTGTGAGAGGCAAAATCAGGGCACGAGGCCTGGCTCTGGCAGCCAGGGGGCTTGTCGCTGACGGTGCCTCTCCTCTGTTTCAGGACTGTTGGAGTGAAGTGCCTGGTCCACCTCCCCTTCCCTGCTGGCTGGAGTGGAATAGTTTCCACCTCCCAAGTCACAGGAGCATGAGCATGGGACGCAATCAGCCCAGGAAGATGCATGTTTCCTTCCTTTCCCAGCACCCCTCCGGATGCTTCAACAACTTGGGCTTGGCCTGTGGGGTCTGCAGCTTTTGGAGGCGCAGGAAGGAAACTCTAGTGTGCAAGGGTCTCAGGCCTGGGAAGCCTGGGCATTCCTGAAGTAGGTGAACTGGTGCACACACCCCTGCCCCCTCCCCCAAGCTGCTCCGAGCAGCCAGGGAAAGGTTGAGGGACCCTTGAAGCTACCCGGGTCTTAGGGAATGCACTCTCTTTCTCCACAACCAAGGGGGTGGGGAGAAAGAAGAGTGGCTTCCTTCTCTCTCCTCCTGGTCCCCTCATCCTCCTTTTCATCAAAGGGAGAGGAAGAAACTGGGGCATGAAGCCGATGGCCTTAGGAGAGAAGGCTTGGTCCTTGGTCCTGAAACTGGAATTGGGTGGCTGGACTCCCCACACCAAGAATCACTTTTGCGTCCCACCCTGAGCCAAACTAGGGGAGAGGCAGAAATGGAGTCTCTGCACATCCATCTTCTGGGGCTTCTGCTCCCTACTCCCCACAGCCCTTTCCTCTCTAAGGGTCAGTATGTACTGCCTACTCGCGCCCTCCTGTTTCTCCCTGGCCAAACCTGCTGTCAGAGAAGTGCCCACAAACAGTTACCCGGAAATGGAAGAAGCTGGAAAAGACCTGTCCCAGGCAGTCTGTCTTAGAGGCACACGTGATGGCTCCTTCCATACATGCAGACAAAAGGCTGTGGGTGGGTGTGCGCTGGGCCCCTCACTTCCAGATCTTAGTGTTCCACTCAGAAGGTTGGCTCTGAGCTGGAGAGTCAACGCAGATCCTGTTCTACCTGTCCTGGGCTGCTTTATCTGTAAATGGGGCTGTTAGAGAAGCTAACGGAGATGACACTTGGCAACATGCCTGGCCCAGAGGCTGGCCCAGCAGACGGTACCTGTTGCCCCGTGGGGCACTGGAGATGAGGCTCCAGGACCACCTCATACCCTGAGGGGGAACCCACAGGACCAGAACTATGTGCAGGAGGGTCCCTGGCCCTGTACAAATAGAGTGTCAGAGGATGGTGTCTGGGGTGCGACTGGGACGCCATCCACTCATTTCCAGAGGGACCCTGTGGCAGAGCTCTCTGGATGCCCCTGCCTCCTGTGCTCTGGCAGCAGGGAGACCTCTCTCTTCGCTGCTTGGCAGTCAGGGACAGGCTTCCTGGGCATCAGATCAAAACCCTATCCCCAGGAGTGGCCATACCTCAGGGCTTAGGCTGGATCCGCCTTGCTGGGGCTCAGTTGTCTGAACTAATTTCCTTCAAAGAACGGGGACCATGGCCTCACTGGCTGGAAACATCTAGAGTCACAATCCCTCAGTGCCCCATGCTGGGTGATCAATGTTAGGAGCTGTTCCTCCCACCCCCAAGTCCCAGCTCAGATTCCCTGCTATGGGGCCGGCAGGTCTCCCTGTCATTCTTAGATGAGGCCCTGGAGTGCCCAACACAGGCTTTCTGGACACAGACCCTTGAAGGATGCCTAGCCTCACGGTAGATAGTATTAGCCCATTTCACAGATGGCTTCAGAGAATCCCTGCTCTGACCCAACTGGGACTCAGATGCTGCCCAGTGACCTCTGCCAAGGTCCAGGCCCTCCTTACCGTCTGACAGGGTCCCTGCTGGTGTCCTCAGCCTCTGCACCCCAGACCCCAGGCAGCCTTGGGTGGTGTGGATCAGAGAACCTGGTATCAGGGGCCTGGGCCCAGGCCCCCAGCAACCCCCAGCCCAGGGGCCCTCCAAGACCGAGCAGCAGAGTCAGGATCATCTTGCTGGTGGGACAGGCTGGGGCTGGTTTGGCAAATGACTGCAGAAACTGCCAGTGACGTGGTCTTCAAGTTAAATCTCAGAAGGAAAAGAAAACATGGGACAACAAAGAGAGGAAGTGGCCTGGGCCGGCCCACCGGGTAGGTCTCATCCGCCACCCCCCACCCCCGCCTCCTGCCTGGCCCCCACAGAGGCCGCCAACCACGCAGACCAGTTCCTGTGCTCCAGGAGTTCTTGGCTTAGGGACACTAGAGTGTGGGAGACCCAGAGGGTGGCCCTACAAACCCATGGGAGTCAGGAGAAATGCCTAGGCTTCCAGGTGGGGCTGCAGGAAGCGGTTTATCAGTCTCGGGGGAGACCCTGCTGCCCACCCACGCTGCTAGCCAGGAAGTGGAGGCATCTCCTCAGCACCTTTTGCCACTGGGCTGTGGGTGGAGGCTCAGAGAAGGAAAGGAGCTATCCTGGGGTCACACAGCACAGCCAAAGCCCAGGGCATGGGGAAAAACCTTATGTGCCTGGCCTCAGCTCCTCCAACTGGTTTGGCAGGAGTTTTAGGCTTTAGGGCATCCAGGGTGCTGTGGGTAGCTGGGTAGTCCAGGCTGACTTTAGAGGTGGGTCATTCTTACTTGACAGGCCAGTAGCTCTGACCCCTGCCCTATCTGTGACCCTGCAGCACTGGCTAAAATGCCTACCCCTTCTTTGTGCACTGAAAACAACAGCCCCAGGCCTGATAGCACCCAGCCAGGGCAGCCTGCAGGTGGGCAGGGCAGCCGATGAATGAGGGGCAGTGATGAATTAGGACATGTCCAGCCCCCATGTCCCTTCTTGGAGGACAAGGGTCAGGAGGGCACAGTTGGGCCAGCAGGGGTCCAGGGACCTCTCCCTGCTGTACCTCCCTGGGGAAGGCCTCCCTCCCTCCACCCTCCCCACCCCCACGCCCGCCTGGGCTGGCTGGGCTCCCGCCAGCCAACACATCAATATTTCATCCACGTCAATAAGAGGCAGCGGCGGCGGGGACAGCGGCTGCGGCAGCACTCGCGCCAGCTCCAGCCCACAGCTCGCAGGGAGAGTCAGGTTCTGTTCTTGCTCAACATGGATGTCTTCAAGAAGGGCTTCTCCATCGCCAAGGAGGGCGTGGTGGGCGCAGTGGAGAAAACCAAGCAGGGGGTGACAGAGGCTGCCGAGAAGACCAAGGAGGGGGTCATGTATGTGGGTGAGTGACGCAGGGCGGGGCAGGGTGGGGCAGGGAAGGGCAGTGTGGGGCCTGGGGTGGGATGTCTGGTACCTTTGGTCGGAGGACCTTTCTCCCCAGCTCCAGGGAGGCACTCTGGGAGGGGGCGAGGACCTGGCTGTTGAGGCAGGGTCTCCAGATCCTGCAGCATCTACAGTCCCTTGCACACACCAGTGTTTGCCTCTGGCTTCCTTGGAGCCCCAGGGTCTCTAGGACAGGATCAGCGTGCCACTCAGACCTCTGACCCAGCTGACCGCCTCTCTAGGCATTCATCAAGGCATGCACAGACACATCCTAGGGTCCTCCGAACTTGGACACCCTGAAGCTGTGAGCAGTTGGTGATTAGGCGAGCTCCCTCCCTCTTCACATGGAGCTGCAGCCTGGCCAGGCCACAGGTTCCTCCCTGCCCAGGGTGAAGAGGTGCACAGGGGAGGTGGGACTCTGGCTCAGTGCCTAACCCACTCCAGTGCCCCTCTGCTCCCTCTGAAGAGGAGGCAGGGGAGGTGGAGGCGATGACTCAGCCCTCGTCTTCCCTGACCAGCATGCTGCTCTGGAGGCCGGGCCACACCCAGGCAGAGTCTGGGTACACCAGTGTCCCTAACTCTCTTTTGTCCCTCCATCCTGTCCTGTCTCCTCCCCATCCGTCCCCTAGCTCCAGACATAGCAGGAAGCAGTCCTTTGAAGGGGCAGCTGGCCCCCAGACACCCTCTACTGACCCCCAGCTTGTCCAGCTGTTCTGTGGCTTCTTTGTCCTGACCGCCTCCAACACCAAGAGGTGGGTCTGGGCTGACGCTTCCATTTCCTCCCCAGGAGCCAAGACCAAGGAAAATGTGGTACAGAGCGTGACCTCAGGTGAGGATCCCCAGGACCAGGGGCATGAGGGACGGGGCTTCAGCACTCATGCACCCTAGTACTAAGGGCCCATGCCCAAAGTCCTCCTTACACCAACCGGAGTCCAAATCCCTATGGGGATCCAGATCCCTGCACACCTGAACTAGATCAGGGTAAGGCTCCCACTCCCGCCCATGAGTGTCAAAGCTGTCCTGAAGTCAAAAACAGGGATCGGAGGGTCCCAAAGAGCCAGAGGCCCAGTGCTCTGGGAAAGGCCTCTCTGCCTGACTTGGTGGGGAGGGTCAGGGTCCAGGCCAGCCCCAGTCTTCCCACAGTGGCCGAGAAAACCAAGGAGCAGGCCAACGCTGTGAGTGAGGCTGTGGTCTCCAGCGTCAATACTGTGGCCACCAAGACCGTGGAGGAGGCGGAGAAAGTTGTGGTCACCACCGGGGTGGTGCGCAAGGTAAGTCCTTGCTCCCATCCTTCCTCTGGGTCCAGAGAAGCCAACCAAGGTGGGGGTGGAGGACCTTACTCACACACCTGGGCACTGAATCCCCTTCCCATTCATCACCCTCTGTGTGTCTGTGCAGGGGTTGTGCTTGGTGTCCTCACATCATTCATGTCTGGAATCCTCACAAATGCCCCTGAATTGGAGAGTTAGGGCTTATTTTATAGACAAGGAAAATGAGGCCCCAAACCAAGCCAGCTCCATGGCTTTCAGCATGGAGGATATACCCCATTTTACCAGTGAAAACAGATCACATGGTGATAAGCAGCCTCCCAGGCCGTGGACATCAGGTTGGAGCTGCAGAGTCACCACCCAGTGTCCAGCTGCCCTCCCAGACCTGGCTGCTGCTTCCTCCCAGGAGCAGCAGGGAGTCAGCGCCCCCTGGTGGTGAAAAAGGAGTAACAGTTCTGACCCCACCCTCCACTGGGGCCTTTGTGTGTGAGCAGGTGTGCAGCATGTGCTGAGTGTGTGTACCAGGATGAGGGGGCATGCGTGTGTGCATGTGTGTGTGCATGTGTGTGTGCATGTGCGTGCAATGTGTGAGCGTGCATGGGAAAGAGGGCTGCAGCAGACAGCAGCAGGAGGCATTGCAGAAGGTAGATGCGAGCTGCATGAGCTGTCCCGGCACCTGCCGCAGAGCAAGTTCTACTGAAAGTTTTTTACACTTATTAACTTATTTAATGGGTACAAATATCCTACAACTAAAAGGAACAAATAAAAAATTTTTAAAAATGGGTACAAATATCCTATGAGATAGGTCATGGAAACCAAGGCCCAGGGATTAGGTAATATACCCACGATGCCAAAAGGGTGGCGATCTTATGGCTGGCCTGGCTCCTGAGCCCCGCTCTGAGAGACTGTGAGAGTGTAGGTTATGACAGGGACCTGAGAGTGGGGCCGGGGCTGACTCCTTAGACACACTGTCTCCATCTCCCATACCTGATTCAGGCCACCCAAGTCAGTGGAGTCTGAGGCTCTGGGCGCAGCCCGTACTGGGGATCCCTGCTCTGGGAGGGGTAGAAAGATGCAGGCCCTCTGTCCCTGGCGCCAGGACCAGCACTCAGGTGTGTGCTTCTAGGGCTAGCACAGGATCTCCTTATCCCCAGAGTGGGCAGCCGTTTCTTCTCCTAGTCAACGGCTCTGCCCCTTCCTAGCTGTGCGACTTTGGGAAGCTGTGTAACCTGTCTGGTCTCCATTTCCCCATCTGTGAAATGGGAGTGAGTGTCTTTCTCACTGAGCTATAGGATATGGCAGAGAAATGACCTCCAGATTGTAGGCCTCCCTGGTTCATGGTTAAAACCCAATGAGTGGTCAACATCATCATCACCAGTGCCCTGGGCTGGACCCGCTTGTATCCAAGGAGGCCCCCCTCCACACTCCACAGCACAAAAGGCCCCTGGTGAGGTGTCAGGCTGGGTTTGGCCTCTAGGAATTTACCCAGGCACTCCTTGCCTCCTAGAGGAGCTGCCTCAAGGGAGACTAATTTTCTGGTGACATCCCAAAACTAGTATCAACTTGTCTCCCCAGTGAACCATAGAGGCCTGAAGTGCTTGTGACTGCTCATGCCCCAGGCTTCGTGCACCAACCTTGGAGTGGTCAGACTAAGCAGGTGGCCCCCTGCCTCTCACCTAGAGAGCCTGGCCCTCCCTGGCCAACAAAGTTCTGTGCCCTTTTAATGCCCCACTCCACCAAGGGGCAGGATGTGGTAGCACAGAAGTGGCTGGACCCTCCAAAGGCAGGAGCTGAGGGCAGGGTCCAGGCCAATCACGACACTGTCCTGAGCACTCAGCTGTCATGACCACTTAGGCAAGAGTCTGACTGGCATGGGGCATAGGGGACAGAAGACAGGCCTGATTCCAGAGCCTGTCCAGGATGCAGGAAGAGAGAGCATGCTCCTGTGGGCAGAAATGGCCTGACGGACAGCAAGCTGAACCTGATGCTGACTAGCTCCGCTGCTTTGAGCTCTGAGGCCTTGACCTGGATACCTAGTCCTCCTAGTCTCAGGGTCCCTGTATACACTGATGACACAACTCTCCTCCTAGGGCTCTTTGGGGACTCAGAGGAGTGCAAAGGTGTATGCTAATGTGATTCAGGAACATGTGTCCACTCTCAACCTCTCTCCATGCTCCCAGCCTTCTTCATTAAGGAACCTCAGTAGAGGGTACCCAGGATTTGGGATCCGCTTGCGGGGGTTGGGGTGTATGAAGGTGGGTTCCAGAAGGTCTTGGCATCATCAGACAGAACTCCAGCTGTGGGCCGTCACCCCTCCAGCCCCTCCAAAAGGGGCCTCTGATCATCTTTGAGGCCAGCATAGATGAGACTCTAGCTGCAGGTAGCTGGGGGCCTCTGTGACTTCCTTATGGTCTCCCTTTTGGGGGTGAGGGTACCAGGGATTGAACTCAGGGGCACTCGACCACATCCCCAGCCCTATTTTGTATTTTATTTAGAGACAGGGTCCCACTGAATTGCTTAGCACCTCGCTTTTGCTGAGGATTGCTTTGAACTTGTCAGCCTCCTGCCTCAGCCTACCAAGCTGCTGGGATTACAGACGTATGCCACAGCACCTGCCTCATGTCCTCTTTGATCCCCTGCAGGAGGACTTGGAACAACCTGCCCCTAAACAGGAAGACCAGGCAGCCGAAGAGGAAGAAGTGGCTGAGGAGGTAGGATCTGGGCTCCAGGGGCACACGGGGGGGGGGTTCTTGGGTAGGGACCCCAGCCCTCACAGACTCTTGCTTCCCTCCGGGGGTTTCAGAACCTGTCAGGGAGCCTTCTGAAGCCCCCAACAGGGACTGTGGGTAGAGCCAACCTTGGTCTGGAGTGAGAGATGCCTTCATGAGTGACCCTTCCAGGGCAGCCATTGAGTGCTGGGGACCTGGAGCAGGTGTGAGAGTCACACTCTCTCTCCCAGGCCAAGAGTGGGGGAAACTAAAAGGTTGCCGGATGGCTGCAGAGTCCCCGAGGGACACCCCTCTGCCTTGAAACCCCTTCCCTCCTGGCACAAGGAGTGCCCTGCCCTGGAGCGTGCCCTGCCCTGGAGCGTGCCCAGCGGGCTGCCCACGCTCCCCGCACCCAAGCCCAGCTGTCAGAGACCTGTCCTCTATGCTGCTGCCACCGACTTCACCTCCTACCTTCATCCTCTCTGGCCCCCTGAGTCTTCTGGACCCACAGAACAGACGCTGCTGTGAATTTTTTTTTTCTTTTTTTAATGATTCCAAATAAAACTTGAGCCTCACCCCACCATGCTTCATCTCTTTTCTGTTATTGTTCATGAAGCCCCCTGGGAGGTCTCAGGGACAGGAACTAGGTTGATGGGACCAGGGACACTATGGGAACACGCAGAGTGCTTCTGGAACTGGTGCCTTTGGGAACCATCCCCCTTTAGCATGATGGCAGCGGCTCCTCCAGCTCCCCACAGTGGGCATCTCACACTGTCCAAGTGTGCAGGGCTGGATGTCCCCAGGTTGAGCTGCAGCTCCCCCTTGGGGTGAACCCCACCCACCTGCCTACCCAGCGTCGCTGAAGAACCCAAGAACCCGAGGTCAGCTGCAGTTGAGGATGCTGCCTATGTCTTTAGCACCAACTGTCCTGAAGGATTAGGGACACCTGACACCCTCCCTGGAGCAGAAGGTAACTTTCAAAGCTTAAACACATAGGACGGACAGGAGAGCCAGGAAGTGACCGCCCACCGGAACCTAGCCAGTCGCAAGCTCCCCACCAAAATTAGGGTTAGGCTTTCTTTTCCTGCACCCAGAAACTTGTCAGGTGTCATTAAACAACAAGACAGCTGAGGTGTATCAGATTGAGCCACACCTCGAGAGAAAAATAGTAAAAGCTAACAATGAAACTGGCACAAACCAGGGGCCTTGCCCTAGGGGCACCCCATTGATTCCTCGTTCTGCTAAGAACAGTGAGACTGTCTGGGCTCTGGGGTGCTCTTGGCAGAGCCCTGCCCCCCAAGTTTTCAAAGCGACCCCAGCACCAGGCTGGTCAGTGTCCCACTGTCCCATTTCGCCTGGGGTCTTATGCCTTGGGAATCTGGCTCTCTTCTTTGGTAGCCAATTTAAACTTGAAGCTTTGAAGTGACTTGCCCTAAGCCTCTGGTCCTTGATTTCAGAGTAAGAGCTGGAGGTCACACATCATTCCAGACTCTACCCTGTCTATACTGCCTCTGCAACAGGGGTCAGGGTCAAGGACAGCCCAGGGGGATGGGATTCAGTCAGATACAGCTGAGCTAGGCTGACTGCTGGTCAGCTGGTCATGGATGTCCACTGCTGAAGAGGCAGAAAGGAGCAGAGGCTGCTGGTCCCCTGGGCAGTAGTGAAGGGTCTGGGGGAGGCTCTGGGCAGGCAGTGGTGTTCCTGCTGTCTGGTTCAGACACAGGCATATGAGCAGGCCTGTGCATGCCCCAGGGGCCTGGGTGTGTTTGAGAGTTCTCTGGACTGTAAGGGAAAGCAAGGAGGAGCAAGCTGAGCTCAGGCGACTGGGTGTGGGGAGAGAAGGTACCTAGACCTGATCCCTGGGCATAGCCTTCATGAGACTCCCTCCCAGTGCCCTCTACATCTGCGTAAGCAGTCTGGAAGTATCCCTGCTGATGCTACACACACACACACACACACACACACACACACACACACACACACGGAGGTTCTGTCCTGGACTCAAGTGCCAAACATCAAGGTCAGCCTATTCCAGCAAGCTCCTTCCCCACCGGCAGTACTCTTTGCTTTTAAATGCCCTGTCATGTTCTCTGGGCTCTTAGAGGCTGCTTCTGTCTTCTCCAGAAGAGCACTGTTCTTACATTATGCCTCTCCTTGTCTGAGAGGCCCCTGACCCTGCCTTGTCTTGCAAGACCCTCAACTGAGAGTTGGGCATGTACCCAAGGGAAAACCTAAATAAACCCCCTAGATTCATTTGTCTTTAGTTGACTTTAAAAATCACTAATTTTGAAAAAAAAATTCAAAATTCTGTAGGTCACTCAGCTGAGTAGTATATAATTAGTCCTGCACTAGCTTTGCTGTAGATGACACCTCTGACACGAGGGTTATGATGATGGCAGTGGCTGAGTCTACTTTTCAGGGACTTGCAAAGCACTTTTGCTGAAACCTTGCCAGTGTCAGATGGGTGACTAAAACAGGGTGAAAAATCTTGGCATTTCTGCCTCCATATTGTGTGCCTCCTTGGCCTTGGGGTCAGACTCTAACTCTGCATACACATATTAGTCACTTCTTCTCTTCAAGGTTGGGAACACAGAGGCTCAAAGAGGTCAAGAGACTTGTCCTAAGGGTTTCTGAGCCCAAGAGGACTGACTCCAGTGCCTGATGCTGTACAGAAACACTGAGCAGTCTCTGCATCACCTCTGAAGGCTGGCTGGCCCTCCGGACAGTAGCTGCTGCCTTCGTGTTTTGTTTGCTACTCACAGAGGCTGAGGCTGGGTATCAAATAGGATCTGCTCCCATGTGATGACCAGCCCAGTGGCAAGAGCCTTCCAGGTTAAAGACATGGTGTTGTGGGAGGGCATTCAGGAGGGCTGGAAAGGCTGAGGCAGAGGCTGGGCTGAAGTCCCCCACCACTGCCTAGGGGATTGCCTCCCTTTAACACCTATGTGTGTGGAGGGGGTGTGGTAGGGATGGGGCATTATGCCTCTGCACATGTGCTCCCTCCCTTCCCCCACTAATCATCACCTTACCCTTTCTCTTGCCTAGTGTTTTAATCGTCTTTAATCTATACTTTGTGTGTGTGTGTGTGTGCGTGTGTGCACACGTGTGTGTGTGTGTGTGTGTGTGTGCACATGCATATGCACATTTGGGCTTTCAGACACTCCAGGCCAGTGGTTGACCCTCTGCTACTACAAGGAGGATATAAGACAGCACAGTGGCCTGGGTAGGCAGGGGCTCCCCAGAATTCTAAGAGCAACTCCAAGAGTGCAGAGAAAGAGTTAGGGAAGGTCACAACACTAGACCTGGAGAGGGGTAGTGGGCTGTGTGTGACCAGAGTGTGCTGGGGAGGGTGGGGGCTTCACTATGCCTCTAGAGTGGGGGATGGGTATGTGTTGCTGTTTCTGGAATCCTGTCTCCCCAACTCAGATGCAGCTTCCTGACTTCTAGTGCCCCAAGAGATCCTCAAGTCCCTAGACTTTTTTGGAAAGTGAGCAGACCCTGGCCATTCCTGCCCTCTCTGAGCAGCGCTACTTGCTCTACTGGTCAGAATTTGGTGACCCGTGACAACCTCCTTTCCAGCTGACACAAGGGGGCAGCTTCCTCACTCTCCACTTGGGGCTGCATCATTTGCAAGTGTTCATGCCAATGGCACCTCTTCTTGTTGATCTTTACTGAATCCTCTCCAGTCTGCAACCACAGGGTCCCAGAAGCCCCAGAACAGCCAGCCAGTCTGCAGCACCACCCTGGTGTGTGGGAACAAAAGGTTCCATGATTGCCAGGGGGGCAGGGGTGTTGGGAGGGGTGTTGGGGTTGGGGGGGTGGTTTCAAAGCACTCCAGCCCATATTAGAGTCCTGCCACAGAGGTTTGAGTAAAATCTATTCACCCTCTATCTGCCTCAGTTTTCCCTTATAAACTGATGCTATTAATAACACTTCTTTTACCAGGTGGTGTAAAAATTATACAAGAGATTGTAAAACATTAAGGAAGCTCCTGGCGCAAGATAAATGCTTAATAGAAGCCAGCTGCTATTATTAATGCCGGCTTCGGTATCCAGCTCCCATCTCGACACTGACTTCAGGCTCATCAAGTGGGGGATCCCAGGATTGAAGAGGGTGGGGTCGGACTAGCTGGATGAGAGAAGGTGTGGGTGCCTCTCTCCTGCCCAATCACTGGATCCTTAACCTAGTCTCTCTTCTTACTCTGGTTCTAGTGATAGCCTTCCCACTGCAGGTACCCAGAGGCAAGCATGTCCTCTGTTCCCTCTCCCAACCTCCCTCCCCCGCCCCACAAGAGAAGCTTGGCACAGGGCGGAGTCATGCCTGATTCCGCCAGCCAGCAACCCCCCCCCAGCGAGGTGGGCCGTCCCTGGGACGCTTTAAAAACACAAAGTAGCGCACCAGTCTTCAGAGCAGCGAGCAAACTCCAGCGGTCTGTGTGTCTGACGGTTTTGACTACCCCGCATACTCCTGGAAGCTATGGCCAGCAAGAGTTTTAAGGACTTGAAGCAGCAGGCGGAAGGGACAGCCCAGGAAGCAGGTGAGGACAGCATTCTACCTGGGCACCAGCGGGGTCACCTACCTGGATGCACCTGGCAGAAGCCACGGGTCTGCGCAGCCCATATGTCTGAGGACTTCATCTCCCAGAGATGCAAGGGACCCCGCACCTGCACCTGCAAAGAATGCCCTGAGGGACAGGATGTTGGGTACTGTGGTGCCCCAGGGGTCCTAGGCTGCGCTTTGGGCTTTGTCACCCCTCCCTGGAGGAACAGGCAGGCAGACAGTGCAGCCCTACCCAGATCCTAAGCGTCCCCACCCATGCCCTCAGGAATGGGTAAAGTTCCATGAAGAAAGGACACTGGCTCACCTCCCATCTGCCAGGTCTATGAGCACAGGACGAATGGGATCCAGAGGCTGCTCCGGACCTCACTGGGCTTGATTTTGACCCCTCAGGGGGAAAAAATATCCTTACTTTCTTTACTTTGAAGTCCTCTCCTTGTTCCAGAGGCTTCACAGCTGAAGACGGAGAGTAAGGGATATGAAGAGACCCCTGGCTCACTGGGTTCCTCCTTGCAGCACCTAGTTCAGGTTTCCGGGGGAGGCAGAAACTCTGGTGGCAGGGAGATAGCTCTACTTTGGAAGTTCCACCTCCTTTCTGCATTTCCTTTCCTAATGCCTTAAGTTGCCTGCCTACTGAAGCACTGACATCCGTGTTTGTGTGCTCTTTGAGGGGAGCCACAGGGGGAGGAGGTAGGAAGGGGTCTTGATGAAAGTAGAGGCCCTAGAGTCAGGGGCACTAAAGGTGGGACATCAGGCATTTTCTATGGGAGAAGTTGTTAAAGTGGACAGGGTCATCCTGAACCAAGACCAACAGTAGCCATAGCTCAGGTGCCATCTCAAGCCAGGGGATCCCCAGGATTGAAGAGGGTGGGGTCGGACGCCCTGGATGAGAGGAGGTGTGTGTGCCCCTCTTCTGTCCACAGTCACTGGATCCCTAATCTAGGCTCTGTGCTGCCTTCCTTCCTCGAATATTTTCTCAGCAACTCTGGAGATGGGGGCGGGAGGTTGGCAAGAGGAGAGGGCC